AAGTGGGGGGGGGGGGCTAATTTAGCTACAACTAATCAGGAAAGAGACCTTGGAGTCATTGTGGATAGTTCTCTGAAGACGTCCAACACAGTGTGCAGCGGCAGTCAAAAAAGCAAACAGGATAGGGTCTGTCTACACTAGCCCCCTCGTTCGAACTAGGGTGGCTAATGTAGTCATTCGAACTTGCAAATGAAGCCAAGGATTAAAATATCTCGGGCTTTATTTGCATATTCCTGGGCGCCGCGATTTTTAAATGCCTGGTAGTTTGGACTCCGTGCCCGCAGCTACACGCGACATGGGCTAGGTAGTTCGAACTAAAGCCCCTAATTCGGACTACCGTTACTCCTCATGGAGTCCGAATTAGGGGCTTTAGTTCAAACTGGCACTTTTCAGCTTGGAAAAGAGGAGACTAAGGGGGATATGATAGAGGACTATAAAATCATGAGTAGGGTGAAGAAAGTGAATAAGGAAAAGTTATTTACTTATTACTATAATATAGGAACTAAGAGTCACCAAATGAAATTAATAAGCAGCAGGTTTAAAACAAAGCAAAGAAAGTTTATCTTCACTCAGAGCACAGTCAACCTGCGGAACTCCTTGCCTGAGGAGGCTGAGAAGGCTAGGACTATAACCAGCTTTAAAAGAGAACTAGATAAATTCATGGAGATGAGGTCCATTAATGGCTATTAGCCAGTACGGGTAAGGAATGGCGTCCCCAGCCTCTGTTTGTCAGAGGGTGGAGATGGAAGGCAGGAGAGAGATCACTTGATCAGTGCCTGTTTGGTTCACTCCCTCTGTGGGCAGACAGGACGCTGGGCCGGGTGGACCTTTGATCTGACCCAGTCTGGCCGCTCTTATGTTCTTAACGCCCCCCTTTCTTTTGCAGGGCCACGTTTTTCCCCTCTGCTCTTGGCTGCCATCATCCTGGGGCTTCAGCTGGCCCGGAGGGGAGCAGCCTTCCCCACCATGCCCCTCTCCAGCCTGTTTGCCAACGCCGTGCTGAGGGCCCAGCACCTCCACCTGCTGGCTGCTGACACCTACAAGGAGTTTGTGAGTAGGCGGCCGGGCGGTGCCACTGGGCTCCAAACTCACTCCTGTGCCAGTCCCCACAGCCCCCCAGTCCCTCATGTCCCCTTCCCGCTAGTCTCCTCATTCCCCGGCCCTCCCCCTCATTCGCCCCTCCTGTCCCCTCGGGGAGCTGGCGTGACCGTTCGCTCCACCGCCCAGGGCGGCCCAGCCCTTCCCACCCGGCCCCACTGCCCCCGGGAGACGAGGCCTTGCCGTGGCCCCGGAGTCCGCGGTTCACACAAGGGCGCGCTGCTGGCCTGGCTCCTCGGGGACGCTCAAGGGACGTCGCACGCTGGTCAGCGCCTGGCCGGCTCCTCAGGGACCTGCCTGCCATCCCCCCAGCCCCTGCTCCTTTTCCCTCCTCGGGCGCAGGGCTCAGTGTCTTGGGACATTCCCACAGGAGCGCGCCTACATCCCAGAGGAGCAGAGGCATTCCAACAAGATTTCTCAGTCGGCATTTTGTTACTCGGAAACCATCCCAGCTCCCACGGGCAAAGACGCGCCTGGCCGGCTCCTCAGGGACCTGCCTGCCATCCCCCCAGCCCCTGCTCCTTTTCCCTCCTCGGGCGCAGGGCTCAGTGTCTTGGGACATTCCCACAGGAGCGCGCCTACATCCCAGAGGAGCAGAGGCATTCCAACAAGATTTCTCAGTCGGCATTTTGTTACTCGGAAACCATCCCAGCTCCCACGGGCAAAGACGACGCCCAGCAGAAATCGGTACGTTCCCGGCACCCGGCAAAGCCTCTCGAGAGGCGCTCCGAGCTGCAGGGGACGAGGGCGCCAGCCCGGTTGGCGCCTGCCGGGACCCTGCTGTGGGCGAAGTTGAACAGGGCTGGGGCTGCACAGGCTGGAAGAGGAGACTCTGAGGACCCAGTTCCCTCCAGGCAATGTCCCCCCAGCATGGGGCTCGCGGAGGCTGCTGGCTCCCCTCGCGCCGGGGGCGTTTTTCTGAGCCGGTGTCCTGGCCAGATTCTAGGCTGGGGACCAATCGGCCTCTTGAGAGGCC